ATCGAAAAATCGAAAAATCGAAAATCGAAAAATCGAAAAATCGAAAAATCGAAAAATCGAAAAATAGAAAAATCTAAAAATCGAAAAATCGAAAAATCGAAAAATCGAAAAATCGAAAAATCGAAAAATCGAAAAATCGAAAAATCGAAAAATCGAAAAATCGAAAAATCGAAAAATCGAAAAATAACTGAATTTCTTAGTGCACATCACCGTTAGTTTAGAGCTATCACGCCTAATATTAGAATAATAAACACACACACACACACACACACACACACACACACACACACACACACACACACACACACACACACACACACACACACACACACACACACACACACACACACACACACACACACACACACACACACACACACACACACACACACACACACACACACACACACACACACACACACACACACACACACACACACACACACACACACACACACACACACACACACACACACACACACACACACACACACACACACACACACACACACACACACACACACACACACACACACACACACACACACACACACACACACACACACACACACACACACACACACACACACACACACACACACACACACACACACACACACACACACACACACACACACACACACACACACACACACACACACACACACACACACACACACACACACACACACACACACACACACACACACACACACACACACACACACACACACACACACACACACACACACACACACACACACACACACACACACACACACACACACACACACACACACACACACACACACACACACACACACACACTCACACACACACACACACACACACACACACACACACACACACACACACACACACACACACACACACACACACACACACACACACACACACACACACACACACACACACACACACACACACACACACACACACACACACACACACACACACACACACACACACACACACACACACACACACACACACACACACACACACACACACACACACACACACACACACACACACACACACACACACACACACACACACACACACACACACACACACACACACACACACACACACACACACACACACACACACACACACACACACACACACACACACACACACACACACACACACACACACACACACACACACACACACACACACACACACACACACACACACACACACACACACACACACACACACACACACACACACACACACACACACACACACACACACACAGAGAGACATCATCGCGAAAATAGTCAAAACGGATTCAGGGGACCTCAAAACGTAACAATCCGTCGAAAACTATACTTTCCTTATATACAGATAGGAAAGTAAAAATGAATTGCTGTTCGTTAGTCTCGCTAAAACTCGAGAACGGCTGAACGGATTTATCTTATCTTGGTCTTGAAATGTTCGTGGAGGTATAGTGAAGGTTTAAAAGGTGAGAAAAATTAGAATAATTTCCGGGAAAACCCTAAAAACAGCCCTTTTTTTTTTCCCATATATCTATAATATATATATATATATATAAAAATGATGAATCCCTATTTCCCTTGGTCACGGCATCACGCGTGAACGGCTGGACCGATTTCGCTAATTTTTTTTTATTGTGTTTGTTATTATCAGGAGAAGGTTCTTATGAAAGAAAAAAATAAGAAAAAAATAAGAAAATTGCGCGGAAAATTAGAAATTTTAAGAAAAATCAAAAAATTGAAAAATCGAAAAATCGAAAAATCGAAAAATCGAAAAATCGAAAAATCGAAAAATCGAAAAATCGAAAAATCGAAAAATCGAAAAATCGAAAAATCGAAAAATCGAAAAATCGAAAAATCGAAAAATCAAAAAATCGAGAAATCGAAAAATCGAAAAATCGAAAAATCGAAAATCGAATAATCGAAAAATCGAAAAATCGAAAAATCGAAAAATCGAAAAATCGAAAAATCGAAAAATCGAAAAATAGAAAAATCTAAAAATCGAAAAATCGAAAAATCGAAAAATCGAAAAATCGAAAAATCGAAAAATCGAAAAATCGAAAAATAACTGAATTTCTTAGTGCACATCACCGTTAGTTTAGAGCTATCACGCCTAATATTAGAATAATAAACACACACACACACACACACACACACACACACACACACACACACACACACACACACACACACACACACACACACACACACACACACACACACACACACACACACACACACACACACACACACACACACACACACACACACACACACACACACACACACACACACACACACACACACACACACACACACACACACACACACACACACACACACACACACACACACACACACACACACACACACACACACACACACACACACACACACACACACACACACACACACACACACACACACACACACACACACACACACACACACACACACACACACACACACACACACACACACACACACACACACACACACACACACACACACACACACACACACACACACACACACACACACACACACACACACACACACACACACACACACACACACACACACACACACACACACACACACACACACACACACACACACACACACACACACACACACACACACACACACACACACACACACACACACACACACACACACACACACACACACACACACACACACACACACACACACACACACACACACACACACACACACACACACACACACACACACACACACACACACACACACACACACACACACACACACACACACACACACACACACACACACACACACACACACACACACACACACACACACACACACACACACACACACACACACACACACACACACACACACACACACACACACACACACACACACACACACACACACACACACACACACACACACACACACACACACACACACACACACACACACACACACACACACACACACACACACACACACACACACACACACACACACACACACACACACACACACACACACACACACACACACACACACACACACACACACACACACACACACACACACACACACACACACACACACACACACACACACACACACACACACACACACACACACACACACACACACACACACACACACACACACACACACACACACACACACACACACACACACACACACACACACACACACACACACACACACACACACACACACACACACACACACACACACACACACACACACACACACACACACACACACACACACACACACACACACACACACACACACACACACACACACACACACACACACACACACACACACACACACACACACACACACACACACACACACACACACACACACACACACACACACACACACACACACACACACACACACACACACACACACACACACAATCACGAAAATAGTCAAAACTGATTCAGGAGACCTCAAAACGTAAAAATTCTTTGAAAACTCGAGGTCGAAAAAAATCATGATTATTATACTTTCCTTATATCTGTATATAGATAGGAAAGTAAAAAGTTGTACATTATTTTTCATTTCATTTAACCAGTTGATATTTCCCCAAAGATCAGGTCAAACTTTCGGGTATTTACCTGGAAATACTCATAAAAATTTTAATCCGAAACCCGCGTAAGTATAGCGAACAGACTGTACAAAGGTTACGGCGACCATTCACCGCTACCACCTAGTTACTAAGCTGCTATGTAATAGTTACCAAAGTGGGGAATGATTTTCAGGTAACCAAGTAGTTCCAGACTAGTTATTGGAACTTCCCGCCACTATTATTAAAGTCACAAAGTAGTGGCAGCCTGGTTATTGCTACGTAACAGCATAGTAACTGCTTCATCTGTATTGAACATGAGCGTGTCCTGACTCTCTCGTTAAAATATGTATAAATTTAATTTTTATTTAAAGTCTTGTTTAAAAGATATGATACTTGGCGAGGCAAGTGGTTGACTTTGTTACTTGAAAGTAATAATAGAGTAGGTATGATATTATACTTATATAATAGCGTGTTTAAAGCTATTTGGGGATATATTTGTTTAACAAATAGTAGTTTACTGAGTAAAATATTAAAATACTTCGAGAAAATAAAAACGCCACCCAAATTTTAGGTTTTTCATAAAAAAAGATAATAAAATAATAATATTAAAATAAAAAGTGATATTAAGCACTCACATAGTCCCAAGTTGATAATAAATTCAACTTTTTGGATGCTGAATTTATTTTAAACCAATTAAAATTTTAAAATTAATCAACTTTTTATGTTAAAAAAAAAATGCATATCTTATTTCACCTAAAATATATGGCCGAATTATAAGTTGTGACTATGAAAGATAATACTACTTCAAAGTAATTTTGCTTTTGTCTTTAGTAACTCTAACTCAAAATATTGTTAATTAAAGTAATTGCGAATATAAAGCTTGCAACTATGTCGACGTTGCTATAAAGTAATAACATACTACTATAAATATAAAGTTATAATGAAGCACCCAGTTAAGTTCCAATTACAAGCAGTTGTTACTTGTTAGTTATAATTACTTTGTAGTCGCATTTTAGTAACTTTTATGGTTTCCACTACTATAAGATGGTGACTTTAAAGTAAAAATTATTTTAAATACATGTTTTAAGTAAATTTTCGGTTATTGTAACTTCGTTATGGGTGTTTGTATAACCATAACTACAAGCGACACACTGAGAATAACTGTTACGTTTTAGTGACTATATCATTAGGAATATAAAGTAATTGTTACATTAAACAGGCATTTATAGTTGTAGCTACTACATATTTACTAAACTAAAGTAAGAAATACTAAAGTAATAGTAATTATAACTCTCTATGCTATTTGGGACTGTACTTCCAAATATAAAATTTAATACCTAATTTACTTGATACTTTTTCAGAAGGAGGGGAGTCCAATGAAAAGTGAACATCTTTCATCATCGCAACGCCACGAAAAACAAATCATGAATTGGAAAAATTACATTGAAACAGCTGAGGAGTTTGTAGAATCCAGGGAACTTATTACAACTGATCTTGGATCCGACCACTTTCATGATAAAGATAAAGTACCCAACGTAGTCGAGTTAAAAGTTGAAAGTGGTCCCCCTTCAGCTGTATGGAAGAACCCAGATAATGTCCTGCCATGTAATGATACAGAAACATCATGTAAACCTACAAAGGATGAACCAAATGAAATAAGTCCAGGTACATACAGCAATCGAATGGTCTGTTCCAACAACGTTCAGGATTCTACGCCAAATTTTCTACTGCGCAGAATCCTGGTGTCACTTTCTGGTTTCTGAATGTTGTTGGAAGAGACTTGAAGTAAGTCTAGAATCGCGAGTGAAAAGGGGTACATGATAATTGGTTCTAAGGTTAATAAAGATTGAAAATAACATGTAAGTTGATTCACAACATGTTAATGAGGATTGAAAAAATCTAAATTTGTTTGCAACATTTTAAGTGCACCCGACGTTTGTGTACATTGGTTGCTTATAATAAAATCTCGGAATAATTAAATTACATTGAATTACATCTAGTCTAGAGAAGAAATGAGTACAGTAGTTTAATTTGCAGAACGTAGTACAGGTTCAAAAGGTAGACATTTTATTTATACCTCATCCTTCAATGCTTATTTGTAGTTAAAATGAAAATTTTAATACATCTGATCGGCCTAATAAAAGTTTTCGTTTAGATATAATCATTGCGTGAAGACATGATTATTTAAAGAAAATAGCGGTCGCAAGAAATCAGCATAAACAGATATTTTATTTAGATAAAACATGGGTTAATACTGGATATACAGTAACAAAAAATTGGCAAGATATCTCCATCAAAATAAAAAAACAAGCCTTTATGGAACAAGTCTCTTGTGGATTAAAAACTCCAACTGGAAAAGGAAATCATTTAATTATAACCCACATTGGAAACACCGATAGATTTTTGTCAGATGGTTTATTACTGTTCCAGTCAAAGAAACCAAAAGACTACCATGAAGAAATGGATGGCCCTATGTTTGAAAATTGGTGTCAGAATATTATAAAAGAAACTGCCAGCCAACTCCGTTATTGTTTTAGATCATTCGTCTTATCATAGTCGAATAAAAGAGTCACTACCTACTTCAACATGAAAAGATGGCTTTATTCAGTCTTTCTAAATCCTTGAAGGCAGAATTACTCGTAATAGCAAGGAAACATAAAACAAATTTCAAAAATATATTATAGACGAGATAGCCCGCGAAAAAGGAATTAAAATTCTTAGATTGTCTCCTTACCACGTAGAGTTAAATCCTCTTTGAACTGATGTGGACAAGGATTCTTATGTGCGTACTTAACACGTAACGAATTGAATAGAGAGAGACATTACATATGAATCGCATTCTGTGGAACGAAGATAGTCGTCTCAACACGTGCCAAATTTAAAGATGAAAATCCCAATGCTGGTCACAATTAAAAGGTTATGTCTTTCGAAGCAATACAACATTTGAATTACCTGATGTGCAAAATTTGTTTTTGAAGACAGTTTGAGATGTAAATGGAGAACATTGGAGAAAATGCATTGATCATGTTGAACAGGTAGAAAATTTATTTTGGTAAGCGCAAGCGGATACAGCAATGAAAAACTTAATAGACCCTATATTAATAAACCTCAGAAAAGACAATGATAATAATACCAGCAGTTTTAATGAAGACCGTAACTTTTATATTTAAAAAAATACAGTTAATGTGACTAGTCAAGTCTTACAATTTACTAAAATGCTTTATTACAAAATTTAACCTTTAGAAAACAGATCACGTGGTACAAGTAGTCCAAAAGGGCGTAAAACTGTGTAAACGACTTTAATTGGTAATTATTTTATTTAAAGTATCTGGCTTTTAATATTAATTACAGTTTCCAAGGTACATCGGTAGAAAATCATGGTTATAACCATGGGAAAAATGTTTCTACAGGATGATACCGCTAAGGTGGGGCCGTATTACCGCATCCATGCTAACATGTCTGCCTACTCAGAAGAGTTTCATGCAGTATTGTGTTAATATCAGTCAATTCTTTCTCCTTATTTTGTTCGTATAGTTTGTTGGGTCTGGGTTGATAAACCTTTTTATTGGATTTTTTAACAAAAAAAATTACTTATATACTCAAGTTTTCGCTAGGAATCACAAAATCCATATTATGTTTGAGTTAACAGTATTGTTACGCAGCACCCTGCATTATGCTGCAGTCGTCATAAGTAATAGTGCAAGTAAAAGAATAAGGGGGAGTATTTGAGAAATATTCCACGTCAAGAAAAATCTGGAAAGTTCGAGAAGGTTCGTGAAGGTGAAAACAAGCTATATAAGTCGGTGATACTGACGTCAGGAGTCAGTTTTATGATCGACGTTATACGTTAATGTTATCAGTTGTATATTTATTGTGAAAGTTAGGTTGAAATAAATTGAGATATTAAAAAACCAGTGTAACATTGGTGGCAGCCGTGGGATACAAAATAAAAGTTCATGGTAAATACTAGATGCACTGAGTACGAAACAGATATGGATACTTCAGGCCCACCAGCATGGTTTTTAAAGATGGAAGAGGAAAAGGAAAGTCGCCGTAAGGCAGAAAAAAAGGAAAAGGAAAGGCGCATGAAGGAATAAAAGGAGGAAAAGCAAAGTCGTAGGAAAGAATAAGACAAAGAGAAGGAAGAGAAGCGTAGAAAAGCTGAGGTAGAAATTATGAATGCTTTGCTACAAATCCAGGAAACCATCAAGCAAGAGGTTGGTCAGCTTAAAATTAGCTAATTTAGAATAGCAGCAAGAGCATTTAGAAACTAATTTAGAACAACGAGAGAATTTGAAACAGGAAAAGGCTAGAGTACATTTCGAAAGGCAAATTAGAACTGAATTAGTTGAGTTAGAAAAAATAATTCTAGGCCTAGCTTCAATAAGCAACAGAGACACTAAAAATACTACCTCGTCTTTATCTGCAATCGAACCAAGCCATATTCAAAACCCAGTTTCACAAATCCCTACTAGCAAAATAATTACGCCACCCACGTTTGACGGTCAGACAACATGGGAAACTTATCGCCTATAATTTGAAGCTGCAGCTAGAGCCAATAGGTGGTCTAAAAATGAGATGGCGGCTGCGAGGAGACGCAGCAACTGTTTTATAGTTACTCCATCAAGGGGAATCCAGTTATACATCACCCGTTCAAGCCTTGAAGATAATGCATGGTCAGCAGCATCTGAAACGGGTATTCCAAAGCCAGCTAAAGGTTCGTAGCCAGAAACATAATGAGAGTCTACAGGAATTCGAGACCGATATCAAACGATTGATTCTTTTGGCCTATCCACAGGCTAAAAAAGGGTTTTTGTACGACCCACTAACGAAAATCTACAAATTTACAAAATTATTTTAGGTTATTAAGGCAAAATAACTAATTTTAAAATAATTTTTCACTTCTAATAGTTTTTAAAATAAAATCATCCGCCCAGAATCAAACCACGGCCCTTCACATGGAAGACAGATGCAGTATCCTCATCTCTGCCTCCACAATTATGATTTTTTTTTGTGTGTCATCGGCTTCAACTGCTAAGGTTATTTCGCCTCGTGTTCTGTGTAGGCTTTGTTACTATTTACCAGTGCCACTTTAGGAACAGCACTGTTAATTAAAACCCAACAGTGAATGGTCGAGTGGGGAATCCTACCAAGGTATTAGAATTAATTTTAAATAAATAAATTAAATGAAAAAATTCCGGCCAACGGTGGGATTCGAACTTAGGACCCTTGGATCCACAGGCAGAGACTCTACCACTGAGCCACCCACCCCCCAATTATGATTTTAACTTCAATACTTGTAATTAAATTATTTTCATATAGTTTGATTTAAATTTAAGATTTGTTTCAAAATGTGGACCAAATAAAAATAAAAATACTATTATTTATCGATTCTACACTAAAAATAACTCATTTAAATGTATATTTATTCTCAATAACTAAAAAATATACTGACAATTAGTTTGACAGAATTATAAAAATAATAGTAGTTGGGTGTCCAAAATATGAACTGTGATTGGTGGATTTCACTCTTTTGCAGTGTTCTCACTACCTAGAGTGGATATGAAATATATTTGCTTAGCTGAACGCATTAGCGTACTTTTTTGTTTTGTAGTCAGGCCCGCTTTTATAAACGGACAGACTGGGCAGACGCCCAGAGGCGCCGATGGCTGGGGGGCGCCCGCGCTAGGGAAGAGAAAAGAAAATAGGTTTTGACCAGCTGGGATTTCAAAGACTAAAATTAAAACGGGTAACTTCAACTTGCTGTTAAGTGATTTTGCCTCGTTGAAAATGTAAAAAATGCAACAAAATAAGCCTTCAGATTAAAACGTTTGATCTAGTGAAGGAAAGATTGAAGAGAAAGCAGTACGCCTCGTGTAGTCAGGGCACGCATTAGTGTAAACCGGGCGCACTCTATCAAGGGCGGTAGACTACAGTGATTAGCTGGTGACGTGCTCTCCCGCTATCATCGCCACACCTACAGTACTTACACCGTCTGTATCTTCACGATGGCTTATTGTAACGAAAGTAGGAGATCCCCGATGGAGTACATGTAGCCTGCCAAGTGGTACTGCCAAAATCATATGTTAGAAGTGTGTTGTAGCCGTCCAGGAGGACATTTTGGTACTAAAAGGACACTGGCACGAGTTCGGGAAAGATTTTATTGGGTCAATTGCTGACGAAATAAAGCGAATTGGTGTAAAAAATGTGATGTATGCAATGGCAGGACAAAGGTCTATGAATTCGCTCGGGAACGACTGAAAGCCAACAGCGATAAAGCAGAAGCTATAATCGACAGGTGTGCCACATTTGGAGAGAGGAGACTCAGTACGGCTGTGCAATCCCATGCACCGAGAAGGACGTTGTCAAAAATCGCAACGAAACTGGGAAGGCCCCAACGCCGCTCTTAAGGAAAATAAATGACCTGATCTACCGCATTCATCTGTCAGCGGGAAGTACATCCAAGGTAGTTCACATTGGAAAGTTAGCGTCATGCCGTGGTCCAGATCCTCAACGTTAGTTTCAACTAGGTCCCAGTAATTAAGTTATTTGGGGCGAACAACTGGAGCAGCACTTTGCAGCGTACTGCAGTCATCATAAGTAAAGGTACTTGTAAAAGAAGAAGGGAAAATATTCAAGAAATGTCATTCTACGTCAAGAAAAATCTGGACAGTTCGAGAATGTTCGAAAAGGTGAAAGCAAGTTATATAAGTCGGTGATACTGACGTCATAAGTCAGTTTTATGATAGACATTATACGTTAATGTTATCAGTTGTATAGTTATTGTAAAATTTGAGTTGAAATAAATTGAGATATCAAAAAAATAATGTTACCGTATTTTAGAATTGTTTTGTCCTGAAATTTTTTGACATTTGGAGGTTACAGCCATTGAGTGTCAAATGCTAAATGAGAGTCAGTTTAATACGCTATATTATTGTGATGTAATTTGTAAACAGACCACCCTGTCCTTCAATTTGATATATATGTTTTTATTTAAATTTTTTAAACATTGTTTGCAGATCCATAAAAGTCGTTTAATGATACATAACCAAATTATTTTTAATGTTTAAATAAAGACAATCTTAAAAGAAAAATAAAATGTTAATGAATACCAATACCTCTATTTTTATTAGTCATTGAAAGACAAATTACGTAGTCACTAATATAACGTAATTACTTAGTAGCGAGTATGTTTTGTTATATTATTTTGCCCTAAATGTTAATATGTTTATGAAGATGAGTACAGAGATTCGGTTGTCAGCGCGGAAGATGGATCCCTTGGTGGAATATTAAAGAAAGATGTACAAGATGGTGAATCTGTCGACATACAGAAAAAAAACAATAGTTGGCAAACAAACGACAGCAATAGCAGCTTGGGCGATGCTACTTCTGCTGGTAGCAACAGCACGTCGCAACCAGCTGATAAATCAAGAGGGTCCAAAGACGATTCCCTAACTGTAAGTGACAAATATAAAAACTTTTTTCACTTTAAGATATCTTAATGTTGTTTTGTTTTATAAATACGGAGCATTAATGTCAAGCCAATCAGAGTTGAATTTAGTACTTTTTGAATCGTTTCTAAAAACTTTTATTATTCCATTTGAAAGAGCTCGAGTCTTCTTTTAGACGAAGATAGAGGAAAAGGTGCAAATATGGAATATCGTTTTGTTTGGTATATAAAAAAATTATTGTTAGTGAGTAGATTTAAGACAAATTTAGGAAAAAGGTACGTTAGACAATTAGCATATGCGATTTTGCTGAAATTTGGTGTATTGGTAGAGTTTTATGTGGCAAAATAAATGGTATTAAAATTTTGTCCGATAATAATACATAGGCGTAGAACTTGATTTTTTAAATAATTGCACCTTTAAAAAATCTACGCCAATGGAAAAAAAGGAGTTTCAGTATGAAATTTAGATTGCGCAACTCATTTACTTTAAAAAAGGTACTCTTGATAAGACTCTCATGGTTTTGACGAAATTTGCATTTTAGTAATTTTAAAAGATAAACAATAATTATTAAAATACAAACTTTGTCAAAACCATGAGAGTAAATCAAGTGTTATCAAGGGTACTTTTTTGTAGTAAATGAGTATCTAATCCAAATTTCATACTCAAACCCCTTTTTTGCCATTGGCGTAGAATTTTTAAAGGTGCAATTATTTAAAAAATCAAGTTCTACGCCTATGTATTATTATCGGACAAAGTTTTATACGATGAAAAACATAAAAATGTACTTTTTCATATCTTCTTTAACATCTCTAATCGAGACTTTTAACAAAAATACTCGATTCTTGCCATGTACGATTTTTTGAGGAATATTAATTATTTGCCTGCAATACGTATACAAAAACATTTTTTGTTGGTTTCCATAGTTTCATCTAAATAAAAATATTGTCAAGTTTTAACACCTAATCTCTTGTTAACGATTGAAAGTGTTCTATCTGACTCAATAATTAAAAAAACAAATGCGTGGTTTATTAATAAGGCTGTATAATATACCAATGCAGAATATACCGATATGTTACTGACATTAGGATTTTGTGAAGGAAATGCTCGAGAAAGTGTCAGGGTGTACTGGGTGAAAGGTTTCCAAATCGTCGTGTACCTAGCCACCCAACTTTTGCTGCTGTTGAGAGACGTCTTCGGGAGACCGGTTCCTTTGCTCCCAACACTGTTGATAATGGAAGGATTCCTGAAGTTGAAGAAGATATTTTAGAACGTGTTGAAGAAGATCCAGAATTAAGCACCAGACGAATTGGAAGGGAACTAGGAGTAAGCAAAGATGTCGTTCATAAAGTGCTTAGAGAACAATTGCTATATCCATACCATAAGAAGCCAGTACAAGAATTATTAGTCCATGATACTCAAATTCGTTTGGGTTTTTGTCGATTTGTTAATATGCAAAGAAAAAGAGATCCAAACTTTGTCAAGAAGGTTCTCTTTACCGATGAAGCGGGTTTTACAAGAAGTAGTATAACTAATACCCATAATGAACATGTTTATGCCGTTGAAAATCCGCATGCAATAAAGGTAAACCATTTTCAGCACGAATTCAAAATTAATGTGTGGGCTGGAATAATTGGTAATTTCATTGTTGGTTCTGTCATACTTCCACGAAGATTAACTGGAGAAAATTATTTGGATTTTCTACAAAATACGTTGCCAGAATTGTTAGAAGATTTACCTCTCCAACTTCGGAGAGATATGTGGTTTATGCAAGATGGAGCTCCACCACATTTTTCTTTAAACGTTAGAAACCACTTGAATGAACAATATCCATACAAATGGATAGGCAGAGGTAATGACGCACCTGTAAACTGGCCACCACGTTCCCCAGACCTAACACCGATGGATTACTTTTTATGGGGACATCTGAAATCCACAGTTTACAGGGAACCTGTAGAAAATAAGGAACAACTCTGGCAACGTATTCAAGATGCAATAAACAATCTTAGAGGTGATGAAGAAGTTATGGAAAGGATACATTTTAATTTTCTTTGACGTATAAATCTTTATATGCGTGAAAATGGTGAACATTTTGAACAATTTTTGTAAAATCTCTATTTTTATTATGTTGTAAATAAATATTTTTGTGAAACCTATACACTCTAAATTATTAAAACAGAAATTTAGCGAAAACCCTGAGAGTAATCGAGTCTTATCAAGAGTACCTTTTTTAAAGTAAATGAGTTGCGCAATCTAAATTTCATACTCTAACTCCTTTTTTTCTATTGGCGTAGAATTTTTAAAGGTGCAATTATTTAAAAAATCAAGTTCTACGCCTATGTATTATTATCGGAAAAAATTTTAATACCATTTCTTTTTCCACATAAAACTCTACCAATATATCAAATTTCAGCAAAATCGCATATGCCGTTTTAAATTTATATGGGAAAAACGATTTAAAAATTGTAACTTCAAGGCCCCTTGGAGCCCAAACGAAGCAACTTTGTACTAAGGTAATTTTACTTAAGTAAATCGACTTATTTTGGTCTAAGGAATATGTGGTATGTTTTTGTAAAGACCTTTTACAGACTCCCTGTATATTTTCTATTGATACCTATCTATTTGATTATTTTATGTTACAGTTAGGTACTGTCTAACATAACACTTAACACATTAAACTACGATATATCAACTGAAATGTGTACCTATTGTAATTATTATATAAAATATTATGTAGCATAAAATCTTTCATACATTTTTTTATTTTATGAAACTTATTGTTAAAAAGTTGAATTACTAAAAATCCATTTTATAACAATTAATACATATAACTTTCATTTCCTAAATAAAAAATTAGATTTGGATTGCATTTCTCTTAGTCTGGTTTTGGCTAATGGGCCATATTGAGTCTACATAAGCCACGCCCAGTGATGCCGTTTTGAATGTTTTAAAAATATGCTTATAGCGTCTCCCCGCCGTCTAACTTCATGTCACAGCCACCTTTTCAAATTTCATTTCATAGGTCTTTCCCACTTAGTCTTGTGGTGTTTACAAATCGAAAATAAAAATGAGTGATTGCTAATTTTACAACTCGACCTCCATGAATCTTTTCAGAGAGACCGATCCAGCTCCAACAAGAGAGTATCTTTTACGTACGGTCAATTAGGCAACGAAGACGAAGTATCGTACGATCCGAATTTTTTTGATCAAACCCAAAGGGAACACATTAAAAGCGTCAGTAACACGCACATATTGCGAAGCATGCAGAACAGATTTTTCGATAATCCTCTATTGAGCGTATTAAGCGCGTCCGAACTGATCGAAGAAAAAGACGATGAAGGCAAAACAAAGGAATCTACGAACCTTGGTGTCCAAGCGAAGACGGCCTATATGACACGTAAGTAAAGCTTTTAAATAATATTACTTAGTATTGAATTCGTGTCAACAAAAAATTTTTTTACTTCATATTTTTAACACTTTTCCACACGATGGTATCATAATTGGTTTTATATCCCCAGTATCAATATCGTGTTTAATTAAATGTGTACATCCTAGGGAATCTTTTGGAGCTATAGTAGAAAAAAGATCTATCACTCCATTAAGTTTAGATTTTTGTTCGAAAGACAGATTTGACATTGTTTGTTTAGAATTTACAGCACATAATGAAAATAATAAACAATATGAAAACTCACCACATCTAATATCACTATTGAATAAATTTAAAAAGTTTTTGTAATATTATCAACATTGACAGGTACATTTATAAAACCTAATACATTTTGTGAAACCCCATCAGCAGTAGTTACACTTAAGTCATCATCATATAAAATAGGTGTATTTATTTTATGAATAATATTAAAAGCTTGTTGACCTAAAATTGTTGAATTAGAACCCGTATCTACTAAAGCTAATATTTCAATATTGTTTATTTTAACCATTAAATGTGGCCTATTATCATTTAGTTTCTTAAAAAATAATGGACTTGAGTTTAAACACCCTGTATGTTTGACCCATCCTCTACTATTAGAGATGGTGAGATACTGTCATTAATTAAAACATTATCATTTTTAAAGTTATAAGAAATTTTTTTAGGTACGGCACTGGAGTTAAATATTTTATTAAGGAAATTTTTTACAAAAGATGGGTACTGTTTCCATTCTGCTATAGAAGTTAATTTTGATTCTTGTTTTTTGTAACTTGTGAATTGTTTTTTTGAGAAGTTCCCGGCAAATTTTGAACATTTGTAAGACTGCGGCCCGTAGCCAGACTTTAAGGTACAGCCTGTAGTCCATTTTTTGAACAATTAGGACAATTCACTACTGTTTTATTTTTGTAGCCACAGCGATAACAAAATATATTCCTTTTAGAAAAATATTTTGAATAGGTATGTCCAACTTTACCACAGTTATAACAAGAAACATTAGATAATCTACTTTTATTTACGGTACTGGTTAGTATTAGTTGAAAAATTATTACTACCAAAAGCAGCAGTATTATTTACATCGGAATGTGTACAATTTTGAGATAAATTTTGAGCATCTTCTAGCTTCTTACATAAAATAGACAATTCATCAATAGTCTTAGGGTCTTGCAATGCTAATTCTTTTAATTTTCTAATTTCTTTTAAGGGCGGGCGTGGGCAATGTATTTAACATAGGCATACACAACGCTCTTTCAATGACTTTTTAGCTGAAACTACAACAAAGATAAAAGTGAAAAAATTCCTGCCGATAATAGATATATACTACTGTTCAATAAAGGTTTTTGGTGTCTCTAACTATAAGGGATCGTTTAAAAATAATTCCCAAAATATGGTAATTTTTACGATGAAATAAAGCTAAAAATATACCAGTAATAATTACCCGATGATGAAAATAATTCTTCTTTGAATAGGCTATATACTAAAGCAACAAATGTCACTTAAAATATCTAAATTAATTGCGTCAATTTTCTTAAAAGCTCGTTGAAGTAAATTTTGGAATAAATTATAAATCGCCATTTATGTGTAATAATTGCCTAAAATATAAAAGAAAACTTCCTAACACTGCATACAGTAGCCACAGGTTAATTCAGAGCTTCTCTAATAGATGGCGCTAAAGTCGTCTTGAATAAAAATAAAAATAAATTCAAATATGCAGGTCCTTATTTAGGAGTTTACTAATATGTATATCATTTCAATTATTAAGTTGATTTGTATTCGATTTTTTTTATTTTGTAAGAATTAAACATATTCAATATTTGCGTAAGAGCATGAAGGATATGTAAGTAATGAGAGAAAGCCTCAACTGTATACTTTGAGATTGGAAAATGTCTGTAACGGAGACGGTAAAAATTTATTGCTTGCTTATTTTGTTGGATACTGGAGCCTAGGTGTTAATGGTACTTTTAGGTGTTTTATAAAATTGAATATTTCAAATATTCATACAAATCTAATATGCTTAAATGTAGTTTTTTTTTTAAATTAGGTTTTAACTTTCATGTATCCATTAAAGTATAGGATTGCTTTTTTTTCGACTTGTAGTTTTCAACTGTACTTTAGGTTTTGACGATAATTCAAAAATGAATAAACAGTAAATTTTAAACTTCAAATTTAATCTAATAAAAGCTAATAAAAGTTATATAGATTTGAAAAATAGATATTTTAAAAATATTTTTGGATATACAGGGTATTGCGTTTTTCCTGGCAAATAAAAATGTATATTTTTTTAGATAGAATACCCTGTATTTTATTTTTAGAATATTTTAGTAATACTGTATTCAATCCTAGAATATTTTTATAAAATATTACACTATTGCCAAGCATTAATTTTTTTTGAAATTAGAGAATGATGCAGACCGCAAATTAAATTATCATAATTTAGGTAGGTTTACATTGATCTCAAAATTTTTTAATATACAGACTTACAAGATACTAAGCTAACGAATAGTGGAGATAGAACTGATTTTAAGTTCAATTTACTCAATTTTTTTAAATGCATCATCGTGTATATTATCTTATCATAAAATTCTTTAAAATATTGTCTATACAACGATACCAATAGTTAGCCAATAACGCATATTTGATAGATAGCTGTTTTATTATTAGAAATACGACGAAATTTTTAATATAAAAGTTGTATGATTATATTTAACAATTATTCCTAAATATACAGGGTGGTCCATAAACGAGGTGCGAACCAAATCTATACTTTTTAAAAGCAAAACACCCTGCAGGTTGTTATACTAATTTTGTTTTCTCATCGTCAATCAATTTTAATAAAATTAACTTCATTAATTTGCTATGTTGTATAGGGTGTGTCAAAACGTGAAGTTACGATTTTCTCAATTTTGTAAATGGACCCTGTATTAATCAATTGGTGGTATAACATATAGGGTATTCCATTTAAAAAAATTAAGAAAATTGAAAATTTTAACACACCCTATATTCAACATAGCAAATAAATGAAGTCTATTAAACTTGATTGACGATGTGAAAACAAGCAGATATTTTTAGAAATAAATTTAATGCTTAAAGGATAGATATGGTATATGATCATTATAAAGAACATTCTATCAAAAACTCGTCAAAAGAAAGGATTCCAGAAATCAATTAATGTAGAAATTGACCGACCCAATACTCCACTTCCGCAACAATAGAACTTGTTTATTCATTCGATATTTAACAAAAGACGTTTAACAAATTTTCTGTCAGAGCAACCAACTTCTTCAAAATTCCATTCAGCAAAAGCATATTTAATTTGTAACTAGTGGTGGATTCGCGAATATCAATAAATATGGGACGAATTTTGAACCATCAAAAGACGATTCCTTAAATTCAATTCACGAAGAAGCGGATACTCGTATCTTATTGCACATATTGTCAGCCAAAAATTCGGGGCATTCACGCTGCATTATTAATTGGAACGATACAGATGTTCTAGTCTTAAAAATTTATTTTAAGAAGCATTTGACTAAAGAGATATGGTTCAGAACAGGGCGAAGAGACTCAAGACGATTTCTAGCAGTACATGATTTAAATTTAGATGATACCTTCTAGAAAATTTGCCTGATTTTCATTCTCTGACCGGTTATGATACAACCAGCCAATAGTCTGGCATTGGGAAAAGAAAACATATTCTCTAATCTTGAAAAATGTTTCATAAAAATTTATTCAATAATTGCCAATGTTACTTCCATTAACATTTTGAGGGGATTAATGGCCTCTTTAAAAACCATTGCTAAATTGCCACCGACTTAAGACGACCTAAGATTACATTGTTTAATATGTTTTCACCAGCTAAATATTTGGCTAAGCTCTTTAAAGCCGCAGGTGCAGCTTCCTAATGTTAAAGAGTATGAATAAAAAGTAGATCAAGATGGAAGTCTGATACCCACTCTAAGACTCTGTCCGACCTGCCACCAGACATAACAGAACTTACATCATGCAAATGCAAAAAAGGTACTATACACCGATAATTTTCATAGATGTACAATATTCTAACAATATTATTCTGTTCTAGACTAAGAAAGCAAAATTTGCAAATGCAGGAAAAAAATATTGGCTGTATCGGTTCCTGCACCTACCTGTATGGCACAGAAAAACTGCAGAAAAAGTTTGACCACAGTCGCTAATGTTTTGGAAAATGTTGATTCGTGTGGTGAATCTTATTCTGATTAGTTTAAAAGTCTTGTACTATAAATTTTAATATTATTAATTTATGCTTTATATACTTTTAATTATTCTTATTATAATGTTTTTTTACATTGGGAATTTATTGTATTTTGCAAAGCAATAGCCTTACTGTTTATAATCGATACTTATATATACTGTGTTTATACCTTCAATAAATAGTTCATATTTTCTTATTTTTTATTTTCCTCAAAAAATAAAAAATAAATCATAGCGTATAAATCAATAATCCGTGAATAAAATAATATGAGAGAGTCAAACTGATTCCATACATTTTAGCACTGAGAGAGAAGAATAGAGAGGTGAGAGACTTTACCTTCAATGTTTGCTTTCTAGTTAAACCATGACATAACTAATTGTTTATTGCTATATTTTTGTTATTATAAAAGCAAAAAATATGGGGAAAGCACTGTTACCTTGTTAATACATTGGCGAAACTTTTATGAGGAATAGTTTTTTCTCATTTAGGCCTTCGTTTTTCGTCAAATGAGAGGTATATTTCTAAAAAAAGATTTTTTATACAAATTTGTGGACGGTTGTAACCGAGATATTGACGTTTAAATTTTTTTTCGACCATAAGGGCTAATGCAAATGATTTTTTTTTAAATAATTATAAAAAAATACTTCCTACAAAGACCTTATTGTGCATTACAACAAAAAATAAGCATTTTTTTTTCTATATGGTGGTATCAATAACTCGATTTTTTATGATAGTGCCCTTTTGCACT